GTACAAATCCCTTAACGGTAACATTTGATTTTTTTGCATTTAAATTGCAAACAGAAAGTTCGTTGCCACTGTAGGGATAACTTGTCTCAGCATCAATACCATGATCAATAATGTATTTGAAAGCATCAACAGCCAAACCGCCATCACAACCAAGGTTTCCATACGATTGCGAACAATCAACTAGATTCTGTTCCGATAACGACAGCAAATGGCCCGTTTTGATAAAATAATGAGACTCAATAGCACCTACACTAGCAAAAGCCCAGCAGGAACCACACTGTTTCTGATCTTTTACTTCGGTGACAGCTCCTTTGTTACGCCAGTCTACTGCTTTTGGAAGACTTATATCGGCTGGTCCAACATAAGGTATTGATTCCTCACCATCGTCGATTATACTTGTGTGTTTAACGAAAGAAAAATCCATTACATGTTTGTCTCTTGAACAGGTAAATAGAATGAATCTTACTCCAGATCGGATCTGTATCCATGCCGCATTTTAAGGATATCTTCATGGCTCAAATCGCTGTACTTATTAAGGCCCATTTTAAAATGGGCGATTCCATTCTCATAGTGCAGATTGTGTTCATCGATTTGGTGTTTGTGTTCAACGAAAATTCGAAAGTGGTGTATCTCATCGGCAAGTGAGTCATAGTGCTTGGAATGTTCCTCCTGTAAATGAAAATGGAGACACAATTTTTGGATGCATTTTTCTTTCTTCTTTTTGATATCACTCTCGAAAACTTTACTCTTTCGAACCAAACATATTTGAATTCACCTTAAACGAGTTCCAATCAATGATGTCAGACAGCAAAAATGCATCACTAAGAACTAATATTGAAAATAGAAACATACAACTTTTCTCCATCATATTCGAACACAGATAATATATTAACTAATGACACTCAAATTTCTAACTTTTAATTGAGAAAATACGAGATAAGAACAGTTCTATCGGGATATAGTTCTCAAGTAACTTATACCAAATTGAAAAGCTTTATTAAAGTTTGACTCTTTTATATTGATAGATGCTTGCTGAAAAGAGAATTCAAAGAATTGAAATTATCGTTTTAAGACGTGACAAAACTTGTTTCAATGTCACTAGACAATGATATGGATAGACAAAGAATGATTCAATTGAAATTCGCATAAGATCATGCATGTTGATACTAAATTCAATAGTGTAATTGAGAAACTGAGCGCAATCACTGTTTTTATTTAATTTTGTATTACATTGTAAATTTTACAAATGAATTGTAAACTCTCTTGTGCATTCTTTTTCGATATATTTTTCTCTCTTTATTTGCATTATATTGTCACTGATATGCGATGTTATTATTTTGCAAAGCCCATTTCTACATGCTTGAATTTTAAAAATAAAAACCAAAACGAATATCGAGTTATCATTCAAATAAAACAAATGATCAAAATCAACCTTATTCAATTTTATAGAAGGGAGGAAAGTAGAAGAGGCAATTTTGAGTAATAAACAATTTGTATAACATGAATTTTTGTGAGATGTGGACATTAGGGTGTTTTTGATATCAGTCGAATGAAAAGTGCCTATTTTTGATATAAAGAGCACCGAATTCTGCGTACATTGATGACATTAACACAACACATCGATTGCTATTCACACTTCCCGAAGCAAAAAATATGTGTAACAAATACTTTCATCTCCATTTCGTCGATGTTAGTTTCACATCAATTCTTTAAATTCAGATCATCGAACAGGAAGTCAACTCATTCCTAATATACGCTTCATTTCATGAAATAAACAAA